AACAGTGAGATAACAGTTCCAGGGAGAATACAGGACCACATCTGTGATGGTGGGCAGAGGCAGCAGACAGCTGGCTGGGATCATGGAGTCTGTGATTGATCCATGAGCCAAAAAGGTGATGTCAACAATGTTGCTGTGGTTCTTCTTTTCTTCCTCATCAAGCTTTTCTTTCACTAAATGAAACATGTCGACGAGACTGAAGAAAGCCTCCGACTCTGCATTCTCTCTCAGCCATTGTCGAACTGCTTCATCCTGACAGTTTCTTATTGCAAAATCTATCAACTCTTTCCTTTGATCTGAGCTCCTCTTGGTGTTTTCGATGCAGAGTTTCACCCTGACTAATTTTTGAATTGCCTTCCTGTAAGAGCATTTAAAAAAACTAATTAGATGCATAATTTCAACCATTTAAACAGTCTGATCTAAATATTCATCTTCTAATGATGATGTGTTCCAGTGCTACTCTCCTGTACAGATACGAGTCTTTACCTCAGAACATGGACAGAAAACCTCAGATACACCTCAAATAAACCTTTGATGGCATCTTTTAATTTCTAGCATTACACTGTAAATAATGTTGATGCTCAGACTCACTGAATTTCATTAAGTTGTGTTTCCAGCTCTTCAGAGGCCTTCTGTATGGCTTCAGCGTTCTCTCTCAGACTCTGACTGGCTTCTGTCTCACAGTTGTCCAGGTTTTTACAGTTGATCACCAGCTCAGGAATCGAAAACGCAAGTCCAACTGCTCCTCCTGCAATCTGAAAAAGAACAACACTCTTTATACCAAGGCCTGGAACCTCTCAATATGAAGCTGGACATTGTGATCAGTAGGGCTCAGTGCTTGGACAGCTGCTGTCTTCTGCTTCATCCTGTGACCCAGGAGTCACAACATTTGAGCAACATGTGCTTCTTTTGGTTTTTAGGGGTGGGCTCTAAACCCAGACCAGCACAGTCCTGGTTTTAAGTGGTCTACACTTGATTCAGTGGCTCTGTGCAGTGAGTAAACTAAACAGCCTCATAAACAACACAGAACAAACACTTTTCATGTAACTCGTAACATCTGAATCCAAACCAGCAGAAAAGGTTCTGCACTAATGAAACTAAAGTTGATCACAGCATCTGTATCACCTGCTGCTGTCTGATTATCAGCTGATAGAGTCATGTGTGGTGATTGAAGGTGTTTACCTGACACAAACATATTGTCTATAGTTTCCATGCTTATCTCTGAGACCAGGTATAAACTTTTATTCATTCATTCTGTGCAGAACAAGTTCAGGAGTGAACCACAGGAGACATACAGTGTCTCACTGTGACCTCTGAGTCACTGATGAGGCAGGAAACAGCGCCCCCTGCTGTGCCAGGCACAGACCTGTCATTTTCTTTGATACTTACACGTCCAGCTGCCTTCACTGCTGTTTTTCCTCCGATGTTAGTGGCCACTGAAACCACAGCTTTCCCTGTTTGTTTAGCTGCTGGTTTTAGAACAAACTGTGAAAGCAGGGTCAAACCTACTGTTGAAATCTTCAGGATTTGTAAGGCCACGTCAATCACAGAGAACTGATATCTGGACGAACCAGACAACATGTTGTACAAACTGACATCATCATGTAGTTGCAGTCCATTGTTGTTGGCCATTGCTCTCAGGATTCGCTCCATGACAAAAACTTCAACAGGAAGATGATCACCATCCCGTTGTTCCTCTAACAGTGTCGTCATGAGTTCCTGGAGTTTCTTCTCAACATTCTGGATCTCCTCTGAAATCTCTTCAGCCTCTTTCATGTTGCGACTTGATGCTATAAGATCTACAATATCAGCACCCACATTAGTAGCCAAACCAGCCCCTGTTGCTGCTGCTCCTACAACTAGAAGAGGTGCTGCTAACCCTCCTGTCCAGAAGGTTAATATACCTGCTGCTGTCAGTGCAGCTGCACCACCTACAGACACTGAGCTCCCAACAACCTTAGTGACGTTAACATTCTTCTTCCTTTCCTCAAGCTCAGTGGCCAGTTTCTTCAACTTGTGTGAACCTTTCTTCTGCAGCTCCACCCACGAGAAGATTTTAGTTATGAGCTCATCAGCAATGTCCATGTTGAGATCACAGAGAGGTCGGCAGGTCTACAAGAAAGTCAGATAGGAACTTACTCAGAGATGTGAAAACAATCCTGGAGTAAAGACGATTTTAAATATAATTATACGGTTATGGAATTTCTAAGTTAAAATGCCTGAATGCTGCTAATAATGTGAAAATAAATGTAGTTTATGTGCATTCATGTAATATTTGCTCAGGACTTTGAGGATATTCGACAGTGGATGGTGTTTGACTGATGGTGAAATCTGCAGGTCCCGTCACACACCCACACCAAAGATCAATACTACAATCTGTCTAACTTATCAATACATTAATCATGCTGTAGTTTCTGCAGAATTGTGCAATATCAAACTTCTTCTATCTGCTGATGACGTTCATGTCGGACACTGGTCAGTGTTCCTGCTGGACTGTCTCCAGCTCTCTGAACAGTAAAAAGAAAATCTTACCTGACGATAGTTTTGCTGAGCAGACGTTCCTCAGTGTTCAGGTCGTCTCAGTCCAGATGAGATGAGGAGGAGAGGCTGTGTCTGTCTGCTGCTGCTTCCTGCTTCTCTCTGCTTTTATAGGCTGATTCACAATCAGATGTTTGTTAAAAGCGAAAGAGAAACTGAAAAATCTGTGGAAATTTCCAATGTTTCTCTAACAAAGAGGAGCTTTTGCATCAATCATACTTAACCATTACTTCAGTTGACTATACTCACACTGTCAGTGTGAGTCCCTCTCACTGGACTACAGCTTCGCTAAGATCCTCTTTTGTCACCTCAGTGAACCCTGATAAGATGTGTTTATATTTATATGATGATTGTCTTCCACATTGTCAGTGTGTGTTAGTTGTTAGGTTAGAACTCCCCAACACCTGGAAACACCTGGAAACACTGAGTTCAGCTTGAAGCCTGAACGTATATTTGTCTGAAACAAAACTGTTCATCTCCAGAAAATTGTTACTAAACAGTAAATCCACCCTGAAAACTAAAACTGAACTGGATCCGAATAAATGTGGAAACATTTTTCACTTGACTGATTTTACAACTTGTTGTTTAGTGCAGTTTGGACTGTGAGGCAGAACCTGTCTAATCAAACACAGCTTCAAAGGCCCTGTACAGGTCAGCATGTCTGTTGGGAAGCATGTCTGCTGAAGACGTCATTGCTGTGCTGTCGATGGTGTAGGAATACTGTGTCTCCAGAAACTCCCGGTCAAACATCCCTCTATCATCCCTCTGGTACAGAGGGTTAATACACCTGCTGCTGTCAATGTAGCTGCACCACCTACAGACACTGAGCTCCCAACAACCTTAGTGACGTTACATTCTTCTTCCTTTCCTCAAGCTCAGTGGTTCAGACATAGAAAGATTACATCCATGATCAGTGAGCTACACAGGACTAGATCATCTATTCACCATAATCACAATGTTATCTTTTGTACATAGTAATGATGAATACCCCACCACACACACAAACAAAAATCTTGGAGCAAAGACAAATATCAGAAAGTTAAAGTCCCTGCAAGTTGCTAATAGTGTCATGAACTCACCAGAGCACAGAACAGGTGGACACAAATGCACAACACAGTGGGTTCTGACGAAGAGGCAGGTCTTATTTCCAGACAGGGTTTGGTACACAGGCAGGCAGTCAAGACAGGCAGAGGTATCCAAAAATCGAGAGGCGAAAAGGCAGGTCAAAAAAGGCAAACAAGGTCGTACACAAAACAGACTATGACTATGACAATTAGACTAGAGCTGGGACAAGGACCGTGAAGTGCAACAAACTGGCAACGAGACTGTGA